TTATAGTTTTTTAATATTTATCGGTCCGGTCCGGTTAAACCGGCGATTTGCCGAAGGTAATCCGTTAACCGGACCGGTTATTTCGGATTTTTAGAAAAATTAACCACCGGATTTTTTAAGGCTTTTTTAACTGACCATTTAATCGACCCGCGATCCGGATTGACAGTTTTCTACAGTTAAAACCGAACCGTGAACACCCGTACAGTTGGGAAATAAAATAGACAATGATGAAAATGGATCATTGCCAATTTATTGCTTAGCTCATCACTTGTATTTTGTTCACCTTTTCTGATTTTCCAAATTGGGTAAGCATAAGTAGAATCTATAAATTTGATTCACAATATACTTTTAGAGAGCATATGCGAAATTATTGAGCTCAATTCATGTGAAGACGTCATCAAGTACGACAGAGATTTATAGGTTTCGCAAAAAATAATGTTCACTTCATCTCTCTCTCGCTCGTTTTTTTCTACAGTATTACAAACGCAATTGAAAAACACTGAGTAGTCATTATTATATTTTCTAATGAAAACATTATTTAAAGCATGAACCGGAGCAGCCATGGGTGTGTACAAATTTTGGACTCGACCTGGCCAACGGGCCGACCCGGACCCGTGGCCACGTCCGCTGATAGACATGTGCGAGATGGGTAGGGGCCTTCGCCCCCATTTAAAAAAAAAAAACGAAAACTTGAAAATTTAAGGAAAAATTTTCAAAGTCGTTCCGTCTGACAGATTACAGACGTATGTTCCCGTCTTTCTTACTCCAAATAATATCCCCACCGTCAACTCCCTCTCCTCTCTCCTCTCTCTACACCTACCTTTTTTTTATTTTTTTTTTCTATTTTCCTTTTTTTTTTCCCCAACNTCCTCTCTATCCAAAGACCTCACTCTGAAAAAACTACAATCCCAAAAATCAATGGCGAAGCTCGTCGTCGAGGTCCTCGACGCCAGCGACCTCATGCCCAAGGACGGACACGGCAGCGCCAGCCCCTTCGTGGAGGTCGATTTCGACGGCCACCGCCGCCGCACCTCCACCAAGCCCCGGGATCTCAACCCTGTCTGGAACGAGACGCTCGTCTTCGCCGTCGAAGACCCCGGCAGCCTCCCGGGCCGTACCGTCGAGGTCTTCGTCTACAACGACGGCGGGACCGGCCGCCACCGGAACTTCCTCGGCAAGGTCCGAATCTCCGGCGCGTCGGTGCCCCCCTCCGAGTCCCAGGCCGCCGCCCTCCGGTACCCGCTCGAGAAGCGGGGCCCCTTCTCCCACGTCAGGGGGGATCTCGCCCTGAGGATATTCACCGCGCTCGGGCCCGCCGCGGAAGAGTTTCCTCTCGGTCCGCAGGTGGCGGCGGAGGAGGAGGATTTCCGGCACCCCGCGGACCCCGGCGAGGTGAATCGCGGCCACCGCCATCCGAATCACCCAAATCGCGAGCCGATTAAAGCTCACAAAGCGTCCAAAGAGAATCTCGGCACCGACAACGGCTTTAATGGGGATTTCTCTTTCTTCCACAAGGAGAGCCACCACGACAAGGAGAAAAAGAAGAAGGAGAAAGAAGTGAGGACCTTCCACTCCCTGGGGACCGGCGGCGGGCCTCCCCCACCACCTCCGGAGAAACAGCCCGCCTTTGTGGAACCCCGTGCCGATTTCGCCAGATCCGGCGGCGGGCCGCTGCCCGCCGCCACGGTGATGCAGATGCAGTTCCCCGGCCCGAAGCCGGAGTACGGCGTGGTCGAGACGCGTCCGCCCCTTGCGGCCCGAACAGGCTACTGGGGCCGTGACAAGACGGCCAGCACCTACGACCTTGTGGAACAGATGAACTTCCTCTACGTCAACGTCGTCAAAGCCCGCGACCTCCCCGTCATGGACCTCACCGGCAGCCTCGATCCGTACGTCGAGGTCCGCGTCGGCAACTACCGCGGCGTCACCCGCCATCTCGAAAAAAACCAAAACCCCATCTGGAAGAGCGTCTTCGCCTTCGCCAACGAGCGCGTCCAAAGCAGCACAATCGAGGTCACCGTCAAGGACAAAGACCTCATCACCAAAGACGATTTCGTCGGCAAAGTCACTTTCGACATCCGCGACATCCCTCAACGCGTCCCTCCCGACAGCCCCCTCGCCCCTCAGTGGTACCGCCTAACCGACAAACGCGGTCAAAAATTACTCGAGGGCGAAATCATGCTCGCCGTCTGGATAGGCACACAAGCCGACGAAGCTTTCCCGGAGGCCTGGCACTCAGACGCCCACAACCTCAGCCAACAGAGCCTCGCCAGCACCCGCTCCAAAGTCTACTTCTCCCCTAAACTCTACTACCTCCGGGCCCACATCATCTCGGCCCAAGACCTTATCCCTTCTGACCGGGCCCGCCCACCCAGCGACACCTTCGTCCGAATCCAAGTCGGCCATCAAATCCGCACCACCCGACCCTCCCCTCTAAAACACGCCAATCCCGAGTGGAACGAAGAGCTCATGTTCGTAGCCTCCGAGCCATTTGACGAATACGTAGTCGTGAGCGTGGAAGCCAAAGACGAGGTAATGGGGAGAATTTTCATCCCGGTTCGAGAAATCCCACATCGAGTCGAGACCTCCAAGCTGCCCGAGCCCCGCTGGTTCGCCCTCCTCCGACCCTCCGTAGCCGACGAGGACGATAAAAAAAAGGAAATTAAATTCGCGAGCCGGATTCTAATCCGTCTCTGTCTAGACTCGGGTTACCACGTCCTCGACGAGTCGACACACTTCAGCAGCGATCTCCAGCCTTCGTCAAAACACTTGCGAAAACCGAGCATCGGTCTTCTCGAGCTCGGGATCTTAAGCGCGCGAAACCTCCTCCCCATGAAAGGGCGAGACGGTAAATTAACCGACGCGTACTGCGTGGCAAAGTACGGTAACAAGTGGGTTCGGACAAGGACTCTTCTCGACACACTGCATCCACGCTGGAACGAACAGTACACTTGGGAAGTTCACGACCCGTGCACAGTCATCACTGTTGGGGTCTTCGACAACTGCCACGTCAGCGGGAATGGTGACCCTTCTCAGCGGGACCAGAGGATCGGGAAAGTTCGTATCCGCCTCTCGACTCTCGAGACTGACCGAATATACACACACTCGTACCCGCTGCTCGTGCTCACGCCTTCTGGGCTGAAAAAGCACGGAGAGCTCCACCTGGCGCTTCGGTTCACGTGCACGGCTTGGGTTAACATGGTGGCCCAATATGGAAAACCCCTTCTCCCGAAAATGCACTATTTACAGCCGATCTCGGTCAGGCACATCGACTGGCTAAGGCACCAAGCAATGCAGATAGTGGCGGTGAAGCTCGCGCGAGCCGAGCCGCCGCTTAGAAAGGAGATAGTCGAGTACATGGTCGACGTGGATTACCACATGTTCAGCTTAAGGAGGAGCAAAGCTAATTTTCACCGCATAATGTCTTTGCTTTCCGGGATATCGTACGTTTGCAGGTGGTTCGACGGGATTTGCTACTGGAAGAACCCGTTGACTACGATTCTTGTGCATGTTCTGTTCCTGATACTCGTTTGCTACCCGGAACTAATCTTGCCGACGGTTTTTTTATACCTTTTCGTGATCGGTTTATGGAACTACCGTTTTAGGCCGAGAAACCCGCCTCACATGGATGCTCGTCTCTCACAGGCTGAGAACGCTCATCCGGATGAGCTTGATGAGGAGTTTGATACTTTCCCGACATCTCGGCCGTCGGATTTGGTTAGGATGAGGTATGATAGGTTGAGGAGTGTTGCGGGTAGGGTTCAGACGGTGATTGGTGACTTGGCAACGCAAGGGGAGAGGGCATTATCGATATTGGGCTGGAGGGACCCGCGGGCCACGGCTATATTCATTGTTTTTTCGCTGGTTTGGGCTGTTTTTCTGTATGTGACTCCGTTTCAGGTTGTGGCTGTGCTAGTCGGGCTTTACGTGTTGAGGCATCCGAGGTTTAGGAGTAAGTTGCCGTCTGTGCCGGTTAATTTCTTCAAGAGATTGCCGGCTAGGTCGGATTCGCTTCTATGAGATTCGGATTGGTTTTTAAGAGGGGATTTATGTAAGTAAAGTTCAATAAAGGGGAAGGGGGAAGTTTGCAACACACCCTCTCAGCTATAATGAGAATTCACCATTCAGAACCTCATTTTTTTTTTTTTGGATTTGTGCTATTTATGTATTCAGATTTCAGACCAATAATCACTTTTTTTGTTTTTCTTTGTTATCTATGATAATGTTCAATGTTTTCTTTAGTCAAAGAAAATGGGGAGACTTGAAGTGTAAGTATTACTGTAAGTTCATGTTGAGGTAACAATGATTAGTTGAGCATTGTAATTGCAGTTCTTCTCTTGCAATTTTCATTTCAATATATCTGCATTTGTCTAATGTTTATACTCTGTAATATGCTTCATGTGGTGCCATGTCATTTTGTCTGAAGTTTCTACTCTGTATATGCTTATGCACTCTTGTCATTTTGTCCTTTCTGGTTGTACCAGGAACATGTTTTCTTGGATTTTACTTGCAAGGTGCATGTGCAAAATGGCTGAGAGTTGTTTGTGTGTTTTGGCTCTGTAAGTTGCACTGCATTTTTGTTCAAGAAATGCTAAATGATTGAAGTTAATGTTATTGTTACAGAAATTCTATGGTGCCCTTATGGTGCCATAATCTCACAATCCAACGCCTAATATCCATATGGTGCCATAATGCTACCTGGAGATAAAATTGCAGATAAACTGCACAGCAATTGCAGGTTTTGATGACTATTTCTTGGAAAAGATGTCAAATTATGATGTCAATTCTTTTAATTATTTGAATTTGAAGGTAAATTATATTCCCTCAAAATAACTTTCTACTTTCTTCAAGTTCATTTTGTTTATGCTATATAGCAGAACAGAATGAAAGAAGGAAATATACACAGCAGAACTTGCAAAACCATAACAATTTTTATGCTGACAAAACTAAGTTTAAACAATACAAACTTCAAACCTCACCTCTCTTTCCCATATTCATCACTATGTCTGAACAGCCAAAACATCATAATCCTCAAAGCTATCAAACCCATCACCAACTAAAGACTCGGCTTCATATCCCTTCGGCTCGACCCACGGCTGCTTTCCTCCGACTCTAACCAGCCCTTCCAATTCCAACGCCACCTCCTTGCTGCTTTCCTCCGACTCTAACCAGCCCTTCCAATTCCAACGCAACCTCCTTCATACTCGGCCGATCGTCCCCTCTCACATTCAGACAGCTCCTCGCCAGCTCATCCACTCTCGTCACCTGCTCCTCATTATCTCCCTCCCTCACGATACCATCCGCTACAATTTCAAACAACCGATTTCGATCTTTCCTCATCAATGAAAGAAAATAATTCGCCAGGTTCATCTCGTTTTCCGGCCTATCGTAGCTCAAAGCCTTCATCCCCGTCAGCAGCTCGATAAGCACTACCCCGAAGCTGTACACGTCACTTTTCTCGGTCAGCACATTCGTCTGCATGTACTCAGGGAGCTTGACGACATTTCTGTGGTTGATTTGGGTCAGGATGATTTCTTCTGCTCGATTTGGTTTGGGTCGACTTCTAATTTGGATTTTTTAACGGCGACTGTTTGGTTATCGGGTAGTAATCCTCTGTAGACGGTTCCGTATCCTCCTTGGCCTATGATCATGCTGCTGTTGAAGTTTTTGGTAGCCTTTTTCAGCTCGGATGAAGTGAAGATTCTAGTTGTGCCAGAGGATGACGATCTTTTTTTAGCGATGAGTTTCTCCTGCAACAGAATGCCGCCGTTTTGAACGAAAAACTTTCGTCTGGTGTTGATCAGTCTCCTTCTTTTGAGCTCCCAGTGCAGCCAGCAACCGGCGAGTAAGAGTCCTATGACTCCTATAGCAATACCTATTGTCATTTTTTCACAAAAACAGGATATATATACATTCATGTTAGGTTCTTTTCTTTTCTCTAATCTTGCTGCTATACGTTTTTCGGCTCAAAATGAGTAGTGATTATAACCTGCAGCAAGTTTGTGGATGAGCGATTCGCTGTGTATGCAACCTTTCCCGTCTTTTTGGACACACACACTGAAAACCCCCGAGCGTGTTGATACACTCACATAAAAATTGTCATGTTCCACAAGTTTTGCTGTATATTTCCTTCTTTCATTCTCTTATGTTATATAGCATAAACAAAATGAACTTGACGAAAGTAGAAAGTTATTTTGAAGGAATAGAATTGACCTTTAAATTCAAACCATACTCAAGTTCACAGAATCGACATCAACTTAACTTCAACATGCATGCAAGAATATATATACATGTCTCAACAAACCATACTCTACTACCAAACTCAACTAGACAAAACATACACCAAAACGAGAACATTATTACATTATAAGCATCAACCGCAACCGAGACCAGCCGATCGCATCTATCTCCCTCCACCGACATCCGAGACTACAACGTGATGATCCTTTATGCTATCAAACCCGACACTATTATTATCATCCCCAAGCAAAGACTCCATCTCCTCTAATTCGCCTTCCTTCTCGTCAACAACCCAATCGCGCTTATTTCTCCCCACTCTAATCACTCTCTCCAATTCCATCGACACCTCCTTCATACTCGGCCGCTCGTCCCCTCTCACGCTCAGACACCTCCTCGCCACCTCAGCAACTTCCACAACGCCTTCATCCCTGTCAGCAACAATTTCGAACAGCCGCTTTCGTTTCATTACAGAAAGAAAATAATTCGCCAGATTCATCTCCTCCTCTGGCCTCTCGTAGCTCAACGCCTTCATCCCCGTCAGCAGCTCGACCAGCACGACTCCGAAACTATACACGTCACTTTTCTCGGTCAGCTGATTCGTCAGCATGTACTCCGGATCTAAATAACCGAGCGTCCCTTGGACAACAGTCGACAGCTGTGTATAATCCAACGGCACGAGTTTCGAGGCCCCGAAATCGGACACTTTCGCCGTGAAACTCTCGTCGAGAAGAATATTCGCCGACTTCACGTCCCTGTGTATGATGGGGCTCGAGGCCGAGGAATGTAAGTACGAGAGCACGCCAGCTGTCTCGGCGGCGATTTTAACGCGCACGTCCCACGCCAGCTGTCGTCCAGCCCTGTTGTTGTGGATGTGTTCGAAAAGCGTGCCGTTGCTCACGAACTCGTATACTAACAGAGGGACGCGCGTTTCAAGACAGCAGCCGAGGAGTTTGACGACATTCCTGTGGTTGATTCGGGTCAGGACAACAACCTCGTTAATGAACTGCTCGATTTGGTTATGGTCAACGTCTTTCGATTTTTTAACGGCCACGATTCTGTTTTCGGGCAAGATGCCTTTGTAGACAGTGCCGAATCCGCCTCGGCCGATTATCATGCTGCTGTCGAAGTTCTTCGTCGCCTTTCGAAGCTCGTGTGAGCTGAAAATCGTGGTTGTGTCCGATGAGGAGAGTTTTTCCTTCAGCAGAATCCCGCCGTTTTGCACGAAAAACTCTTTTCGCATTTTGAGTAGTCTTCTTTTCTTGAGTAGCAAATGCAGCGAGCAAGCAGATAGTAGGAGAAGAATCACCCCTGAAGCAATACCTGTTTTTTATCATATTTCGAAATGTTATTGTGAAATCGGATGACATAACTCGAGCATTTCAGCAAGAGATATTATTCGAAAACCTGCAGCAAGTTTGTACGCGAACGATTCGTTGCGCGTGCAGCCATTTCCATCTCGTCTTCCGTCGCCATTGTATCCTTTTGGGCAAAGACATCTAAAACCCCCTTCGAAGTTTTCGCATCGATTTTCGAAGCACACGTTGAGATTACCGTCATTGCATTCATCAATATCTGCGAAAAT